AAAAAAAAAAAAAAAAAAAAAAAAAAAAAAGATCCTGTGTCGAGCCGGGCACAATGACTCACACCTATAATCCCAACACTTTTGGAGGCCAAGGTGGGAGGATTGCTTGAGTTCAATTGTTTGAGACCATGGCAACAAAGCAAGCCCTTGCCTCTTTAAAAATAAAATTATCCCAGCAGGTTGAGGCTGCAGTGGCCGGGAGTGTGCCACGGCACTCCAGTCTGGGTGACAGAGTGAGACTCCAACTAAAAAAAAAAAATTAAATTAATTAGCTGGGCGTGGTGGTCCCAGCTATTTGGTGGTCCCAGCTATTGGGAGCAGAAGGATCCTCTGATCAAGGCTGCAGTGAGTCCACTGCATTCCAGCCTGGGCGACAGAGAAAAGACCCTGACTTAAAAACATAAAAAGAAGCCGGGCTTGGTGGCTCAGCCTGTAATCCCGCGCGTTTGGGAGGCTGAGGTGAGGGGATTGCCTGAGCCCGAGGGTTCGAGACCCGCCCGGGCAACTTGACGAGACTTCATTTCTACAATAAATCAAAAAATTAGCCGGGTGTGGTAGGACGCGCCTGTAGTTCCAGCTACTTGGAAGGCTGAGGCGGAAGGATCGCTGGAGCCCAGCAGGTCGAGACTGCAGTGGCCGAGTGTGCCACTGCACTCCAGTCTGGGCAACGGAGTGAGACTTCAACTCAACAACAACAACAAAATAAATAAATAAAAATAAAAACATAAAAAGAGACTTCGTGTCTCAAACCTGGCCTGCCCCCATTCTCCGGGAACCAACTCATTCCTGAGCCTGGAGGTTACCCAAGCTTCTCTCACCTGGTGGCCTCTGGGTCCAGTCACCCCCTGGAGGGGCAGTTGAGATGAAGAACACCGCCATTAATCCTCCCACCCCAAAGCAGCTCCTTCCCAAGGCCTTTCAGGGGCTGCCTGGGCCCCACCCTTCCCACCTCTCCTGGGAACCTGAGAGCACACTCTGAAGGTTGGGGCAATTTGTGTGCTGGAGACCAAAGCTCAAGCTAGGGTTCTCCCAGGACAACTTCCTAAGAGGAGTTAAAACCCTAGGGGTCTGTGCAGTGAACCAGTCCCTCTGCCCTGGCCTGCACCTGTGTATCCTCACATCCCACTTCGTGTCAGAGCTGGCCGCGGGATCGGTCCTGCTATGGCTCCCCACTGCCCAAAGTTCTTCCAGCAGGTGCCCGGGACTAAATTTAGTGCGGCGCCTGCAGTGCGGCCTGAGGCCAGGCTCTCGACTCGTAGACCGTCCCGCCAGGCCTGGGCCGAACTTACGACCTCGGGGGAGGCTGGCCGGGACCGGTTGGCCCGCGCAGGCCCCAGCGCCCAGGTCCGCCCACCGGGCCTCCGGCCGAGTTAGGGCCCGGGTCACGCCGATCGAGGTGGCCCAGGTCTGTCCCCTCGGAGTGCGCCCCTGCTCTCGCCTCCTTCCTTTTCCACACACTGCAGATCAACTGTCCTCGCCCGCCCGACCAGCCCAACCTGGGAGCCGCCGGGAGGGGTTTAATGACTGCGCCGGCCGCAGGGTCCGCTCCAGCAGGTGAGGGGAGGGGAGTCCCACCCCGAAAGGCAAGGTGGGTGGGGGAGGGGCTCGCGGGGTTTCGGTGCCTTTGTCCCAGGGGGTGGGGGAGGGGCGTTTACCCCTCTGGAGCCGCCAAAGGGCCCGGTCGCTTCGGAGACTCCGGCGTCCCGGGACTGGCCCACCCAGGTGGCCGCTGCCAGGAGGGCAGCCCGCGTTCCCCACACGCACCCCTTTCCACGCCGCCGTCGCCCTCACCCAGCTCCAACACGCACACTTCCCCCGGGGCTCACCTGCGAAGGTAACAAGGGAAATTCCTAGGCGGAGTGCGTGAACAGGGGCGGAGGCGGTGGTCTTAAAGAAGCGGTGACGTCACTGGACCACCGCCCCGGGGGAGGGGCAGAGACCCTGTCCCCGACGGCTGCGGGAGTGCGAATCCTGGCCTTGGCAGATGGGGGCGCCCGAGCTGGGGCCGCTGAGCCCGCACGGGGCCGGGGTGTGGAAATCCTGGCGGAGGGAGTTTGAGTCCCGACTGCACCACTTCCACCGGTGACATCGGGAACTCAGCGAACCTTTCCGAGCCTCAGTTTTATACTCTGCAAAATGGAGACAAGCCTGTATTTTATTTTACTTTACTTTATTTATTTATTTGAGTCGGAATCTCACTCTGTCGCCCAGGCTGGAGTGCAGTGATACGCTCGTGGTCACCGCAGCCTCGACCTGCTGGGCTCAGGCGATCATTCCGCCTCAGCCTTCCAAGTAGTTGGAAGTACAGGCGCATGCCACCACGCCCGGCTAATTTTTTGATTTATTGTAAAGACGAGGTCTCACCTGGTTGCCCAGGCTGGTCTTGAACCCCTGGACTCAGACAATCCTCTCGCCTCGGATATTTTATTTATGTATTTATGTATTTATGTATGTATGTATGTATGTGTGTATTTATTTATTTATTTATTTATTTGTCGGAGTCTCACTCTGTCACCCAGGCCGGAGGCAGCGGCGCGCTCCCCGCCACCGCAGCCTGAGCTGCTGGGCGCTGGTGATTCTTCCACCTCAGCCTTCCAAGCAGCCGGAACTACAGGCGCCCACTACCACGCCCAGCTAATTTTCTGATTTATTGTAGAGACGAGGTCTCAGCATGTTGCCCAGGCTGGTCTCCATCCCACGGGCTCAGGCAGTCCTCTCGCCTCGGCCCTCCAAAGTGCTGGGATTATAGGTTTGAGCCACCACGCCGACCGGATTTTTTTTTTTTTTTTTTTTAAGAGCCAGGGGGCTCGTTATTTTACCCAGGCTGGTCTCGAACTCCTGATCTGAAGAGATACTCCCCTCTGGGCCTCGCAAAGTGCTAGCGCTGCATTTTATTTCGCAACTGTTACCTAAGGTACAAATGAAAGGGGATATTATTTTATTTTATTTTATTTTTTTGAGTTGGAGTCTCACTCTGTCGCCCAGACTGGAGTCAGTGGCCGCTCCCGGCCACCACAGCCTCGACCCGCTGGGCTCCGGCCTTCCAAGTGGCTGGAACTACAGGCGCGCGCTACCATGCCCGGCTGATTTTTGATTTATTGTAGAGATGAGGTCTCGCCAAGTTGCCCGGGCGGGCCTCGAACCCGCGGGCTCAGGCAATCCACTCACCTCGGCCTCCCAAAGGCGCGGGATTACAGGCTGAGCCACCGAGCCCGGTTTATTTTATTTTTTTGAGTTGGAGTCTCACTGAGTCGCCCAGGCTGGAGTGCAATGGCACGCTCACGGCCACTCGACCTGCTGGGCTCAGGCGATCCCTTCGCTCCAGCCTTCCAGGTAGCTGGAACTACAGGCACGTGCTACCACGCCCGGCTGACTTTTTATTTTATTGTAGAGACGAGGTCTGCCAAGTCGCCCGGGCTGGTCTGGAACCCCAGCCTCAGGCAATCCACTCCCCTCAGCCTCCCAAAGGCGCGGGATTACAGGCTGAGTCACCGAGCCCGGCTTATTTTATTTTTTTGAGTTGGAGTCTCCCTCAGTCGCCCAGGCTGGAGTGCAACGGCACGCTCACGGCCACCCCAGCCTCGACCTGCTGGGCTCAGGCGATCCCTTCGCTCCAGCCGTCCAGGTAGCTGGAACTACAGGCACGTGCTACCACGCCCGGCTGACTTTTTATTTTATTGTAGAGACGAGGTCTCGCCAAGTCGCCGGGCTGGTCTGGAACCCTCAGCCGCAGGCAATCCACTCGCCTCAGCCTCCCAAAGTGCTGGGATTACAGGCTGGGCCACCACGCTCGGCCAGGGGATGTTGTTTTCATGTGAGTATCGTCATACCCCTGGGGCCCTTAGGAGAGCGGCGCTGATCTCCGCACGCGTCCTGTCCGATTCCTCCACACGCCCGGACTTGAGCAGCGTCAGGGCTGGGCCGGATCCGTCCCGGCCGGGTCCGGGGACGCGCGCAGGGGCCGTGTTTGGTGAGCAAATGGCTGAGCGCCGCGGGCCGCGCGGGCGGGACGTCCCGGAGCGGGCGGCG